TATACACTATGTTTTATATATATTTTTTCAAATGGCTGTGTAAGTTTCATATACATAAAATGATAATATACAATGTAACTCTAGAGAGCCATCATATATATATATATAAGATCAGAATCAGGAATTCAAATAAGAAAAAAGAAATCAGAAATAAAAGTGAAAAAAATAAAGAAAATGAAGTTTTATGAGTCCATTAGAGATTTGTAGTGTATACAAAGTATTTCCAGTAGCATGACTCTTGGCCTACAATTTTTTTCCCACACAAATGAAACAACAACTAATAAGCCCTTTCAGACTACAGCCTCACCAACTGGTTAGCAGTTGATTCTGTCTCTCCTGCTCAAGTTTAGAAAACTTTCCATCTGCTTTGTATCCACATGAAATGTTCACAAATGTGAAGTAATACACAGTGGACTAAAAACCAGTAAGCTCAAAAAGAAAAATAGTGAACTTGATCAAAACTGGAAGAACTATGAACTCACTTCCACCCTAAAGATATCCAAACAACCTAAGGACCTAAGGACTCTGTTATAAAAATGAACATCATGCTCAGTAAACAGGAAAGAACAGCAAGGCATAAATCAAATAAAAATATCACGAGGTTGTGCTTTAGAAAACTGCATGACTTGTACAACTTTTTGTGTACTGAGTTCTGTTCCTGCAGCCCTTTACAGAGCTAGATAACTCCAGGCAGCCTCAAGGACACAAAACACCCAGGTGTCCATAACCAGTGCTGGTCTTGTTAGCAAGAGCTCAGGGTGGCCACCTGATTAAAAAAGAATTTTGACATGTAAGAAAAGAAATCAGCCATAGTCTGTACCTTACAAGGAATAGGAAAGGAATTTTCATGTGAATTTGAGATGAAACACACCACCAGGAAAGGTATTATGAAACGTTTGCTGTGCTGAGGTTACAAAAACCTTTTGTCAACGTCAGGTTCGCAGGCACGTAGAACGGTCTGAGAAGAGACTATCAATAAGGATAAAAACATCCCCTTGGGCATCAAGAAATTATTAGATGCCATGGATTGGCCAGAATGGATAGAAAACTGAAAAGGAAATACAGAATTGAAGGCTTTGACTCCTCTCTTGTATTCCTATGAGTTATTAGTATAAAATGTGCCTGGGCTATGGCCTGGAATCAGACGTACAGTTCAAGCACAGCCTTCAGTTGAAGTCAGTTAACAAGTAATGTACCAGAGGACAGGGATATCCTATGCACCTCCAGCAATGTGCTTTCAAATAGGATACAACAGTGCTGTGACTATTTTAAAGAAACATCAGCTCTAAAATCTGTAAGAAGAGACAAGCTTTGCATCTGCAACAGACATTGTCAGGTTAAACATTTTTCCTGACCAAGTATATTCGGAACACCTATGAGCATATGGTGGGCATAAAGCTTTAGCATTCTTCCAGTAGCACCACAGACATGGGTAAAAGAGAGCTGAGATCTCTGTAATTTAGATTAATTGCTTATTAGGGGCATGGGGAGAGCTGCTGCAGGAGTACTGCAGCCTCAAATAACAACTGAGAGCAGCCATTTGAGTGGATGTGACCCCCCCAAGCCCTCAGGGCTGAGTCGCAGAGTCCTTTACCTCTGCAGCAATGCCTGTCCCTCTCCAGCTGCCTGTCGACAATACAAGGACACCGGCAGGGATCTGACTGCCGGTCTCCTTCTCGAGGAGCTGCCCTGAATCACTGCCCTTTCATAGCAGTTATGTATTTCTGCACATAAGGCTATAGCAAGACCCAAACCTGTTTTAAATCTGGCTTCTCATTTTTCTCTGCTGGTCTGTCAGAAAGTGATGCTGGACCTCCAGCGCTCAGTCCCTGGCCAGCAGCAACACTGGCTCCCACTTTACCTAGCAGAAATGTCTCTCTGGAGGACATGAAGAGGGCATGGATCTGGCTGCAGCTTTTCAGCCAGGTCTGACATTCGAGATTAGTCAGTTTTGGCAATGGTTACATGGGGGTGATCATGGATTTCCAAATCTGCATAGGATTGCCCAGCACCCCTCATGCTGTCATACCTACTTCTTGGTCATACTTGGATTTAAGGATAGTGTGGGTTGGTCTGCAGACACTGACAGGTGAAGAGTGACATGGAGAGATCACAGATCACACATTCCCTGAACTGCAACAAATTTCTTCCCAGAAGGGAAGGGCTTGGGCTCACCCACGCTGGTGTGCCCACCGCCTGGACCCCACAGCCCCCCATCTGTCACCAGGGAGCAAGGAGCTGCAGAGAGGGAGAGATGTTGCACTGCTTGGGAATGCAAGGGGTGTGTCCTGGTTTTAGCTGAGAGGGTTCATTTTCTTCATGGTAGCTAGCATGGGGCTATGTTTTGGATTTGTGCTGCAAGCAGTGTTGATAATATGGAGATGTTTTTGTTCTGTGGACCTATTGTTGAGCAGTGCTTACGCAGAGCCAAGGCCTTTTCTGCTTCTTGCACTGCCCTGCCAGCGGGATGGCTGGGGGTGCACAAGAATTTGGGAGGAGACACAGACAGGACAGGTGACCCAAACTGACCAAAGGGGTATTCCATACCATATGACGTCATGCTCAGTTTATAAGGAGCTTGGGGGAAGGGGGGTGGGGGGGGTGGCAGCATTCAGAGCGATGGTGTTTTTCTTCCCAAGTCACTGTTAGACGTGATGGAGCCCTGCTTTCCTGGAGATGGCTGAACACCTGCCTGCCCATGGGAAGTGGGGAATGAATTCCTTGCTTTGCTTTGCTTGTGTGTGCAGCTCTTGCTTTACCTATTAAACTGTCTTTATCTCAACCCACGAGTTTTCTCACTTTAACTTTTCCCGTTCTCTCCCCCATCCCGATGGGGTGGAGCGAGCAAGTGGCTGCGTGGTGCTCAGCTGCTGGCTGGGGTAAAACCACAACAGGGTGCAAGGACTTACCAGCTGAAAGGTGATTGGGAAGGAGGGAATAAAGATCACCTTTGACATTCCCCTCTTCAGAAACGTACTCCACATCAAAGTCAAAGCAGCAGCCTGCCGTGAAGAACATTTCACTGAGAGCTCACCTAAAGCGCCTGTGAGAAGTCCCCAATCATGTTAGCAGTCTCCTTCCTTCCCCATGCTGTGCCACGAGCAGAGAGCACGGCATCACGGTGTGGATGTGCAGCCTCTGCTGCCCGTGCCAGTAAAGCATATCATGAAATAGGAGCAAAGAGAGCAAGAGAGAGATGGGAGAGCGCAATACTGCAGTGTGGTCTCCTGCACAGAACCCGGCAGGTGCAAGCGGCACTCGGACTGAATTTGGTCTCCATTAGAGGCTATCAGCTTTTACTGGCTATGAACAGGTAAACTGGAAAATGATGGTTCAACATTGTTTTCAGCTCTGCTGTGGTTCAACTCCCTAACTGGAAGGGCAGTAAACAGGGAACATTTTGCTTCTGTTTGGAATGCAAAACATTCAGTACTGGTTTCTGCAATCAAATCCCCAAACCAAAACACAACAGTCACGATTTCTAACTCTCCTATTCAGCAGATTGCTTCAACATATCCCTACAAAATAACGATTTTTCACCAATAATTTGCCAAATGGGGGTGCAAGATGTTTAGAAGAAATACGCTTGGCTGAGAAGATAGTGTTTAAATAGTTCAGGGTTTTTTTTCCAAAAAATTCAAGGTTTTTTGTTTGTTTGTTTTCTGTTACGTGGCAGGTAACAGAAATAATTGCTTTGGTAAGCGTGTTGGTTTACTATGTGTTAAATGCTCACCAATTAAGTTATTGAAACATAATTACTGTGCAAACAGTGTACTCTCATTATATATTTTTAAAAGCAAATCCCGTTAGTATGGCTGCCTTCCTCCTCCCATCTCTGCTTTCTTTTTCACATGTCTGGAGTGGCAGCAGGAGGTAATTGGGATGGCCAGCCTCTACCTCAGGATGCAATGCAATGCCAGGAAAAAGGAGGCGAGGTCCTGAAGCAGGCTGCAGTATCAATGCGGTTCTTCCCGCTGCCTTTGCTTCATTTCCCTGCTGCGCCTTCCCCTTCGATTGCCATGGCGAGAAGTGTGCTGCGTTACACGAGAGGGATGTTTTGCTGTGTTCCTTTCTGGAGCTTGCCTCATGTCAGATTCTGGTCTCTTGCCCACTGAAACACCCTCTAAGACCTGGGTCTGAAGCAGCAGAGGAGCAGAGTGCATTTCTCCCTAGCTCTGCCTGCTTTGCGGACAGAGGATTTTGCATTCACGCCAGAAGTAATTTTACATCTTTCACATCACTTCAATACGAGTATAACATTTTGAGCATTACATAAACCGATTCACTTAAACCCTACTTAACCAAAGATCTTCTTTCACCACATCCTCATTATGCCCTTAGGTGTCAACACACTCTTCAGTTACTCTCTCTCAATGAGATAAGAATTATCTCATCACAGTGATGTTCCAGAGTGTGTTGAATAATCAGGATTATAAACGAATGTTTCTAATGTTATTAGGAATATTGCATAGGTTGAAAATTCACTCCTACTTAAGGCATTGATCTAACAGGGACCGTAAGTGCATTTTTAAGTTTGTGAGTCCTACCGAAAGGAGAAAGATTATTCATATGATTAAAGTTAAGGTGACTTGTCAGAGCAGAGCATAAGAGCGTAGGATGTGTGTTTGGACCCAGTTCAGAAGGATACTTAGGAACACGGCTAACTGTAACCTATGAAACACTAAGCACTTAAAACACCACCTAAGGTCAGAAGGAAAAGAAAGATCACACAATGGCCAAAGCTGCCATCTGCGTTTTTCTCACAAACCTCTGCTCACCCTTACAATGGGTTTCATAGCCCTAGCACAACAGCTTTTCACAATTTGAATAAATAATAGCAAATTATTAATAAAAATAACAGCAATAATAAAAAAAGGTTAATAATATTAAATCCTTCTCCCAGAGGGATAGTCAGGAAGCTTTCTCTAGCTTTCCAGATTACAAACAGCTACAGTTAAAATTTGAAGAAGCGGGTGAACAGAGTAAACAAATTCTAATTATGGAAGATGAAGAAATCAAAGACATTTATTTATGTGCACTGTAAGATCTAATATGTCACCTTGCCGCCGCATTGGTGATTATTTTCAGACTGCTGGGATTACGGATCAGCTTGTCCAGGATGCTGACAATCTGCTCAAACTTGGGTCTGTTGTTTCTGTCTTTCTGCCAACAGTCCAGCATCAGCTGATACAAGGCAGCTGGGCAGTCCATAGGAGGTGGCAAGCGGTACCCTTCATCAACAGCCTTAATCACCTGCACAAGGATAAAAGTTTTTGAAAACTTAAAGGCACTTAAATCAACTTGTTTTTATCAGTTCTGTGAACCACATTAACATGGACATTCCGTGTTTAAACAAATGTGTTTATTCACTAATTGTCTTGTCTTGCCATGCCTCTGGTTTATCTGCAAAGTAAACCAGGCAGTAAATTAGGCATACAGAAAGGGCTGTAGGGGAGTTAAGATACTGTATGTGACTTTGAGGAAGGTGAGAGTCTAAAAAGGATCTCCAAAACTCACACTTGATTGAATTAAATCCGTAAATAAAAGCTACAGCTAGTAAGGTGCTTGCTTAACTGTGCCAGACTTCAAAAGGTCTTGAATATCTCTTGCCTGATCACCCTCAGCAACACACGCTTTCCACGCTCTCCAGCGGACACTGCACTCGGCGAAAACCAAGCCCCCTCTCATGGGTGATCCTGAACTGAGAGATACAAGGTCTTGTGAAGAAATTTGGTCGTAATTGATCTCACAGGGCCAGAAAATATTTTAAAAACTTACCACAAGGATAACTGTATACTTCCTACTAGGCAGTACAGGCTCAATTCTTTTATCATTTGTCTAGATTGACAAAATTTGTCTAGATTGACACAAAAAAAAATAGCCCAGGATTTACACCATTAGGAAGATTTTTGATACAACCTTTTCACTAGAGTATAACACCTTTTGATCAGTCCTACAGTATCTATTGCACCATGAATAAAACCCCAATGTATTCTAAACAGAAAATGATAAAGCCATATTCTATTAACCTTTCATTTTATCTGGATAGCTTAATTCAAAAGCAGGAAAAAATATTCTGAATCAAAACAGGGATAGGAAAACACGCCCATGGTTTAAGCAGACACAAAGCAGAGGCACATAAATAGGTTAATCCTTCTGTTTCTGATTTTAATGTGAACAACTATTATTAAAGGCATTCCACTAGTATATCAGCCTACATAACACGATTAATTGATCTCCACCAAGGACAGAAGGAATGTTTAGGACTAATTTAAAAAAATACAGTTTGCTGCAGAGATTTGCATTCCAGAGGTACTAATTTGAAAGTAGTTTTCTTCTTTTTTTTTCCTGTTTAACATAAAGTAGTATAGAAAATGTCTGAGTACAACTATGTGGCTACCTTTTTTTTAATTTAGTACTAATAACGATATATACCAACTCCTTGGAAAATCTATTTGTGTTAGTGACAGTACTTCAGTAAAGTTAGTTCATAAGTAACTCCCATAGAATAAATCTAAGATTAATAAAACAACAGAAGAAGAACCCAAAATAGATATAATAAAAATCTTATTTGGGGAAATAGAATCATAGAATCGTTTATGTTGGAAAAGACCTGTACGATCATCAAGTCCAACCGTTCATGCTTCTTACAAAAATACTGGGAGAGATCCATAGAATCATTTGGATTACAGGCTTGGATACTTTATTGATGTTGCAAAGAAGCCTGTATTGGAAGTCTTCTAATCATATCACTCTATTTTATCCGTTGATTACTTCCAGGGGTATTTTGGTTTCATTAAACTCTTAGTAGAAATGCTTTGCTTCTCTTTTTCACAAGCTCCAAGAGCAATTTATTCTGTGTATTTGACATTAAGAGAAAACTTCTAAAGAATATTATACAAGTAGAACCAAAGGGGATCAACAGAAATTTAGGAGGGTGTTCTAACAGTAAGCTAAGGAATGTAAAAGGCAATGACCTCACTGCAGTGGAATTGTTTGAATCATCCTACAGAAAACCACCAGCGTGATTCAATTCTCTAATATGTTCCTTCAGAGGTCCAAAATACCCTGCCAAAAGATGCTGGCTTTTTGTTAAGTTCACTAGAACTCATATCTGACTAGGGAGATTTGGAGACTTTCATTTCTACATTTTATTCAATGTCAACGTCAAAAACTCAGAGCCACCTGGTTTCATTATGCTTCACTTCCTTTCACAGCTTGATCCTTTATTTGAGAACATAAGTCAGATAACAATATACTCACATCCTGGTTGGACATCTCCCAGTATGGTCTCTCTCCATAAGACATCACCTCCCAGAGAACAATCCCATAGCTCCACGCGTCACTGGCTGATGTGAACTTCCGATATGCAATGGCTTCCGGTGATGTCCATCGGATGGGAATCTTGCCCCCCTAGGAACAAAATAAAATAAACCAGTCCCTTTCACTGTAGTACAATGAATATAATTTTGCATGACTGATTATTTTAAATGAATATCTGAGATTCTCAATTATCGCTGTATTGGTGTGAAAAACAGTGTAAGCTGGAAAATGCTATTGCCATTTGTCATGCAAGCATCTTGTACCCAATAGAGAGTAAAATACATTAGAGTGCAAAATCTACTGAAGCTATAGATATATTGTATAGTATACATACTGCACACATGTACATATATATACATATATGCTCACGTATATATTTATGTATAGCATAATATGCACAGATAATTATAAATGGTAAGTTAAGTATGGTTGATTTTCAGTTCTAAAACGTTCAGAAACTGACAAGACAGCCATAGAGCATCAAGGATGAAAAAGCTAGTACGAGGTCCTCCCTTGCATCCTAGATCCCTCTGCGCAGCACAAGAGGGCTAGATTTGGCTACCTGTAGGCATCTCAAGCGAATTCCCTGTTAGTGTGAACCCTGCATGGTTTCTCCATGTTTTCACCTCATGTTTTCTAGGGCATTCAAGGAAAACGAGGGGCCATGAGGTTGCTCTGTTTCACAAATGCCAAGGCTCCAACTGCATAAGGCAGTGACCGTGACCATAATATGCACAAATTTCCCATTCCAAAGCCGTCGGAGACAGTCACAGAAAGACAGATTTGGATGGGGTCATCCGTGCAGAGGGCAGAGTGCAAAAATGTCATCTGGGGATGCCGTCTTAAACATTTTTTACAGTCACAAGAGAAGGAAGGCATCATTAAATGATTCAAACTTGAAAAGAATTAAAGCTACCATTACAATTAATATTGTAGTTAAGGGAACATCTCTCTCTGATTATGGCCACCATAGGTCAAATTAGTAAAATGTGCACAAGCAGCCTCAGGCTGAGTTTCTGCAATATGAGAATTAGAGGAAAGAGACAATTTCTGATGGTGCCAGCATGACAGAGGTTTTTAAGACTCTGATTTGTGAGTCACACATGAGAAAAGTAAGTGCTAAAAGACTAAGGTCCTAAAAGGTGCAAAACTCATTACTTAAGGTAATTCTGGAGTGAACATATTTGAACAGTGAAAACTGTGATAGTTTAAAGTCGTTTCCAGTTCCAGGGATGCACAACACATACAGGGATATATTCTGAGGATTTCACACTAGACTAGCTATTTAAGGTACTTCCGCAACACCCATTATACTACAGTCTGATCACACACCTATCCTCACAATAACCTGTATGGGAAAGGAGTGCTCTTATTTCCACTGACTAACCAGCAAGAAATAAAATGTAAAGATCTAATGCTTTGCCTACACTTCCATGAAGTGCACCTGCACTGAGGGTAGCTGTACCCTCACCAGCTTTAGATTCACTAGCTTGGTTAACAATAGAAATGAGGACATTAATGTTGAAACCTAACTACAGCCCACCCTGGAGCCTAAGCATCTGTAATTTCATGGTCAATATTGCACACATTAGATTAAATATAAGCAACACAGGTAGGCTTTACTCAGGCTGCAGTTTAGACCTGCAAAATGTCGCTAGGTATGTCTTAGAGGCTTGGCAAAGGTCAGACAGGGAATCTGTCTTGGCATACATTTTTTTATCGATCCCATTCCACTTAGTAGACTCCCTACCTTAACCAAAAGACAAACCTTCATTTTGCACACAACCCTTAAAATTAGGTAAACTCTGAACTTCCACATTACTTGTGGACCAAAAAATAGGACACAGAAAATAAATAGCAGTATCTGAAACCAGTATTTCATCACAGAAGCCAGACTAGAGCACCTGATATCTGTTCTCTTGCAAACTTGGAAACCTATAAAATGATGTCCTTTAGTCAGAAAAAGTACATCATATTTTTTATTCATTATAAGTTTATTCACAATTCCCAGTTCTGTTCCATAACAGTACTGAGAACATAAAGAATATTTTGATTTTCTCCTATTCTATTGAGAAGCAATAGGATATCCACTTTACAAATGTCCAGGGTCCCTCAGTGAGTCCAAGGCACAGCCAAGAAACAAGGGAAGCCCTCCTGTGTCCTTGTGTTTTCACAACAAATCCACTTGCAGTTGTAGATGTGGGGGTGATAAAGAAATTAATCCCACTCTTTCAACTTTTTTTTTTTTTCCTACACAACTAGCAGAGCAAACTTTGATTTCCAATAAAGAACGTCAATGCCGGGGGAGAGCCATATCCTGACTTTACACAAACAAAACCCCACCACCATGAACAGAAAGAGCTTCCTAATCAAACGTCTCCCACTCATCCCACAGGCTCAGAAGCCGCCCACAAACCCGAGCAGAATTAGAGCGCGGCTGCAAGGCCAAGGTGCCCGAATGCTGCCTGCATGGAGGAGCGGGCGGGGGGAAGCCTGGGCTGCACGCCGAGGACGCCAGTCCTCCCAGCACTGACCTGCCCGCAGGGTGCTCACCCACCCCAGGCCATCTCAACAGCCCGGACAAAACTGCCTCCACGCTACCCGAGATGTAAACTGCAAAGGGCTTTTACAGATCAAACCCAACCCCGTGGACCACATCTGGAAAGGACCGTGAAGCTCGTGGGGCCGCTGGAGCCCAGGCATGAGGGGCCACCACCATGCCCATGGCAGGGGGGTTGGAACTAGATGATCTTTGAGGTCCCTTCCAACCCAAACCATTCCGTGATTCTGTGATACGCGTATGACGTGCCCCACATAAGAAAGCCCTTGAGGCAGGGAGTAGTTATGTTGTTTTTCTTGCATCAGCACAGTGGCTGGTTCTGTGAATTACAGAAGTATCATTTTGGAGTTTTCAGCATCTTGCTCTCTAAAGAATCTGAATTTCTGTGGGTGGCTCCAGGCTCACTCTTTTAATTTCATGTTAAGATACGAAAATGGAGCCCTTCTTGCCGAACCCTAGAGAAATAATTGCCAGATGTCACACAGAAAAATGTGCTCGTGGCTAGAACATGAGCGCTTTAGGCAAGGGCAGGAAATATCATATTCAATAGAAGGTCTTTAGCTTTATAATCTTATGGCAAAAGTAATTTATACAATTGGAGAAACACATTTACACAAAATGATATTAATTAGTCTCCTAACATTTCATGACTGCTTTATTGCAGGGTAAGGAAGATTATAAACTCAATGAAACAACATTCTAGCTTTGTTTGTTTTAGTGAAAAATGAAGGTAAATCATCCCTAGATTCCATTACAAGGAAATACATTTTCTTTGCTAAGTCTCAGCTGTAACTCTACACAAGCCTACAGGTACGTGTAAGCATTATCATAAACAAGAGTAAAAATAAGGAGAGTATTAAAACGTAGCTAAAAAAAAAGTCAACTGCCACTGAATAGAGTGTAAAACTATGATTTTGTTATTCTGTTCCCCAATTTGTTATAAACCCGTCAATTTTATCTTTGTATTTAAAAGGAGACTTTGTTGAACTGTTTTTTTAATAATTTAAGAGCAAGAACACCAAAAAAAAAAAAAGTTCTCGCAAATATTTTTTAGACAAATAAGCATTTTAACGCAAAAACAATCCCCCCAAAGGATTATGCAACATTCACATTTTAGCAGATGTCCAAATATCAATATATGAAGAAAATCTTAAGAGTTGTACCAAACTAAATGCACAGTTTTCTATTGCTATTAACTTTGAAAATTAGAAGGCTTGATATGATTCAAATAGTCTATTTTGAAATTAAAAAAACCCATGACCATTCAGCATTAGAAAATCCCTTTTCATTTCCATCATTTTTGAGAAATATTTATCTCATTTGAACACATGCCACCCTTCAGTTTTCTGCTTTGCCAGAAATCAGGATATTCTTTGCAATATCCTTGGCCAGGATCACAGATATCTTACATAATTTATCTTTGCATACATTAAACCAAACACTTTTCTCCTAGACCATAGAGCTGGAGCTGGGAAAACTAGGCTCCCATACTAGTTTCTTTACTCGTCTCTTGTTTTTTACTCCCTTTCCCCAGTCTCCTGCTATTTAAAATGAGTATAACGATACCTGTTCTGTAAACTGCTATGATGAAAGTGCTAAGAAATCCTACCTGTTTGTTTAGGGTCTTTTTTAATTATTTATTGTATGTCCATTAGGCTTTCATGCAATTTAATTCTTCTTTATCTGTTATCTCTGTTGCTTATCCTCCACTGGAAAATCTGAAACTCTAATTATTGGTTGGTATTACTGGGCTCCTACCCTTTAAAGTTAGTGCTATCAGGATTGATCATGTAAGACAAACTTGCTAAATGAAAAATGATTATAGATATGCCTAGGAAAAAGGTTTGCCCAAATCTATTTGATATAGACTTATAATGAGAAATCTACATGTGCATGCATCACTAGCTATTGGTAATATATTTACTGATTACTTTCTGAAGATAAGTACAGGTTTTACGCTTTTGTCATGGTCTCCCTTTAAGGGCATGCTCGTCATGAAGCCAAATAAGCTGCCTGAATTTGAGTAGAAAGCATTAGAAATTGTAGGAGTTTGTTATTATAGCTCAAAATCCCAGGCAGTCTAGGTCAGAGAACCACTCTTGGGGTTTGAAATTAGTGAGCCAGCAGTAACCGAAGGTTTTATCTGCTCTAGATGGAGCTGCAATTCCTACAGTATCTGGCCGTTCAGCATCATTCATCTAAAGTCAACGAAGTGCTCAATTTATTTCTAGCACGTCTGGCACTCCGGCACAAGGCAGCTGTTTCCAGGCCTTCATAACCCATTCCAATATTCTGATTTATAATCTGTTACAGGGTGACTGCCACAGGCACCTACGCCACAGGCCTGGGGAGAGGAGAATCAAGAAAAATGGATTCTAACAGAATTATTAGAAGAACTTTGCAGGAAAACCTGAAGGTAAAAGCCTGATATTAATCCATTACATGAGGACTCAGGCTAGTTCAGGAGGTACCTTACTGGTACAGAGCAAGATGGTTTCATGCAAGTGAGATGAGCCTGACTTACCCTCTTAAGCACCTGAAAATTACCTGATACTACTTGTTCATCTCTCACTAACGAATATTTTACCTTTACCTTATTTTATCTTGACCACTCTTCTGGAGTGGTAGATGATAACAGAGCACTGCTGCTCTCCCTCAGGCATATCAGGCAAGAGAATTTGTGGTTTGGGTTTTTCTTCTCCTTTTTCTACCACACCCTTCAACATATTCAGACTGCATTACCGTGTTTTTGCATATAAAGGGAACAAACAAACCACAGCAAACTTCTGCCAAGCACCAGCTGCAATCATGTGCGCCCTTCCCTGCGGCACGCGATGGAGCGGTGCCTTGCCGTGCCCCTCCGCTCCACTATGGCACTCCTACCTGGTGCACAGCCTACCAGAACTCTTGCCATCAAAGCACGGTACTTTCTGAAGTGATGTAGATTTAATGAGAGGTTATCCATGCAAATATAACAACTGGACAGTGTTTTACATTGAAATGCCATCTATGTTGGTGATGTATCCAACTATGTGTTTAAATAGTCAAAGTTCGTGTACTGATTACCCAAATATTATGCCTTTGAGAGACATAATTACAGGCCCTCTACGTGTGTGATGGTTTAAATTTACTTCCACTTCATACTGTGTCATTAGTCCACCTACTTGTCATACAGACATCTAAAAATAATAAGAATAAAAAGGATCAATTTGACAATGACAATTTTAATACAATCTTGGCCTTTCAATTAAAAGTGAATAGGTACGGAGAATGTAGATAATTACAGAACATCCCCTCCGGCACAAAGGCTCAGTAAAAAAAAAAAAAAAAAAAAAAATCCAAACACTCAATCAGTGTAATTCACATGCTGGCTTCTCCTTCTGTAAGCAGGCAGACCACAGGCTGCCAAAGGCCTTTTGTGGTATTGAGTCCATGACAATAATTCAGGAGGTAAAAAATGACCCGGTCAGGTAGCAAAGTTTTCTTACAACTCTTGATTCCCTGTATTTCACATATGCACCTGTGATCTTTGCATTGTCCTTCAGAGCTCTCGTACAATAGCATGAATATCACAGATCATGCACTGATATATAAAGGGATACATACATTATTGATATATAAAAGAATACATGTCCATATCCTTTACGCAAAGCTTCAGAGACAGCTTCTGAGAACAGAACCACATGAAATTTCACCCGGTCAGTGGTGTGTATTGAAAGCCTGAAGGCCTGACTGGGCTTCTTGGGGGTAGATCGATCCCAAATTGCAATTATGAATAAAAGTGATGGAATTGTTCTCAGGCTTTGACATTTACAGATGGAAAACAGGGGTAGAAGAGGAGGCTAAATAGATAAAACGTCTGTCTTTGCAGCTAATTCTATAAATTTCTAAATGGACAACTGGGAGTGGGAAGAGGTTGAGGGGAGGCAAAAGTCTCTGCTCATTAATATAATACACACTCTTTACTGTTTGAGTGTTTGGAATTGTGATTATATTTTGGATTTTTTTTTTGTCTTTTCAAAGATCCTACTGAATAGTTGTCATCCTTTAGTTGTAAAGGCATGGAATTATTTGGGATGATGCCATGATTTTAACAGGTAGCACTATTTTTGTCTTGTTTTTGCTATATAATTAGTGCCTGTGAAAGGCAGTAGGAACAGCCTAGAAAATGGCCCTGTGTTTTATGATATGATTAAGTAGCAGGAACATGAACTGCCCAACTTTCTTCCAGTGGGCTGGAGCTCTCTTTCACACTTGTGGTTCCCAGTTGTTTAAGCTGGGGATCAAACACACTCCAGGGACACAATACCTGGACATGTATACAAGATTCACTGCAAAGGAAACTTGAGCTAAAAGCTGAATAGCAAATAGCCTTGTCCTTCTTTCAGAGTCAAGATGTGGCAGACTTCAGCAATTACTTTTGATGAAAATTAGATTTGTCCTAGGTTGCATTTGAAGGTTTTAATTATCCGAATATCTTCCTGCAACTGTTTTGCCTATACACCCTAAATGCCAGATGGAGTTTACTGAACACAGATGATTACACTTTACAAAATAGTTTCTTTCCATCTGATTTCACTATCTAAATGTAAATAGGCAGGTAGGCTTTGAAAATAGGTGGCAGAAGAGGAAGAAGGAAAAAAACCCCACAAAACCAACACTGCCCTTGGCCAGAGGAAATTCGCACATAACACTGGCCAGAAGCACTGACACCCTGTGGACCCTGGTTTGTCTCAGCTCACCAGTGGATATAAGTCACTGATGTTTGCTTCATTTTCAGGGATGTGTGCTTCCCTTATAAAGCGGTATGCTCTGCAGCTTGATGGGGAGTTGCTTTTTCCTCCCCATACAACTTTTTCATCTAAGTTAACTAAGACTTTAAGGTTTCTTCAGCTCTTTATGCGAGTACACAAAATGCCATTACTAAATTATAGATTAGTTTGCATGCCCAGATTAATTTTGGAATAACAGATTTGAACTAAGCCTGGCAGAAGTATGCGTTTGAGCAGAAGAACATGAGCCAACCATGTGGCAAAGCTGTGTTGGGGGTGGAAGGAGACATAGAGACTTCTCACCCACGGCATGTGTAAGAAACATGAGATAAATATGCTGTGCTTGGTGCTGGGGATGAGTATCCCGTTTTGGGCATCACATTTAAGGAAAATGTAGCTAAGCTGAAAAAAAATCTGAAGACGACCAGCAAGAAGAGTGAGTTTGGAAAAACTGCATAGAAAATAAAAGAATGGAGGGATGCATGTGAAGAGGACAGCAATCTCCACGCATGAAGGCAGCTGCTTTAAAGGGGAGAGCGATCACCTGCCTATGGGCAGCAATGGTAGGACACAGAGTAATTGCCTTAGCTTGCAAGCATACAGCCTGGGGGAGGGAGGCTAAATACGAGACTAGATAAATACTGTATCTAAAACTGTTTACCGCAGAGACACTAACACCCATTACTTCCACAGGAGATTTTAAGAAGAGGGCAGGCAAGCGTATCTGATAAGGCAATAAACCTCTGGCTGAACTACAGACAATTTTCACTTAAGGAACTCTTGCATTATATTAATATTTACTTATGAATGCTGCACCTATACTGAGCATAAAAACTGCTTTCTCCTACTAATGTCTCTTTGTATTAACCATGAGAGATCTCTGCAGACAGTGTTCTAAAGTGGTACATATTGCATATTTCTAACAACATGCCAAAGCTTATCAGAGGACAAAGAAAGCACTGAAAGGTGACGTAAAGAATAGAGTCTTTATGCCTGGTAAGTTATGAAGGTATGATTGATAAATATGTATCTATAGATGTATGTATCTATAATGTATACATAATGTGTAAGAAAACAGCTAGGATTTCTTTACTCATTTGTCATGTTATTTTATTTCAATCATGAAGAAGGTAGCATGCAAACTACCACAATAATTGATTTCCCCTGTCAGTGATCAGGAATGAAGGAAGCCCTAGAAAACCCACATTAAGATTTTGCTGATACATTCTACTCTAATTTGGTTTGTACAGTGAAGAAGAGATGATTACTAGGCATCAGTGCAAATTACACTTGACTAAGATACTGGAGATTAACGCTACTTTTTCTAAAATTAATAAAATCTACTTGCAATAGGATTAAAGTGAACAACTAAACATCCCAGTGTAATATCTACATACACAAAACTAAACGTATGCCTTCAAGGTTTCCACAATAAAACAGAAGCGTTCTCCAAGTGAGAACAAGAGGTGCAGCACAGCTGTATTTAGAAGACACTGTGGCTTTTCTAAGGCTCTAAGCCAACAGCGTAGCTTCCAGGTAGCTTTTCAGGCAGGACGATATCCAGAAAAGAAACAAGCAGCAGCTTACACTATGGGCAGTCCCCTATCTGATAAAAGCTTCTCGAACTCAGGACAAAACAGCCAGAAGTTAAGTCTCCTCCTTGATATCATTACATCTCCAAAAGATGGGTACCACTTTGTATATATAAGGAGAAAGCATAGGAAGTTTATTGCATTGTTAAGCAAGATTTCATTTTTGTTTAACTCAAGTTTTTACTTGGTTAGGGGCACAACAGCAGGTATAACTGATACATCCTTGTAGAACAATGATACCAGTATGCTCCAATCAGACATATGTCCCATCATACTAGAAGATACAAAAAGGTAAAAAAAAAATAAAAAAAAAAAAATTTGCTGGGTAGGATTTTTTCTTTACTGTGTGGGAGCTCAGTAGTGTAACAAAACCTGCTCAAAGCACACATGAAGTCTTACATTACTGTGTGCCAAACCAACTCAGGCCTTAATTGTGGTATTTACTCCTTTACACACCCAGCAGAAAGAAACTGAGCCGTGAATTTTGCACACTTTAAGAAAAACAGTCTACCAATTGAAATCATATTTTTTTTTGCCTTCTATTTTCTCTGACACATGAATTAAAACCAGCTGTGATAAGTTTATCATTTATTGAACATCGCTGGGCATGCAAGACTGGATGGCCTCTGCAACACAGAGTATAAGCCTCAGGGAATCCATCAGATTTCAGTCTAACTTTGTCACCACCACCAAGAACTTTAAAAGGATAAACGAACACAGAAAACTCACCCTTGTGGTGTAAGCAGCTTCTGGGTCATCTTCCAGTACACGAGAGAGGCCAAAATCTGAGACTTTGCATACCAAGTTACTGTTGATGAGGATATTACGAGCAGCTAGATCTCGATGGACATAACCCATATCTGACAAGTATTTCATGCCAGATGCGATCCCTCGAAGCATGCCTACTAGCTGGATGACTGTGAACTGGGCATCATGTTTCTGGAAAACAGTTGAAATGTCATTTCAGAGATTGTTCATGTTCGTCTTTGCACAGAACTTTTGACAAAGACCCTGGAAGCTCCTCAAGCAAAGAGCTCGTGAGTCAGGGGTCGTGATTTAAATGCTACACGCAGAACTACTTTGATCTGTGGACGATAATCTCCCAATCAGCTGAGGGAAGTGGGCAGGTTTTCAATTCAGATAAAAAAATCATTTTCCCCCTTCTTGCTGTCATCAGAATTTTAATTTCCTAGACGGGACCTGTGTGAAAGCGGCACATAAATCTAAGTTGTGTGTGCTCATAAGACTGGAGTGTCAGGACATTAGGGAAACAGATGTCCAACTTCCCTGAAAGGCCATAGGAATTGTTGTGAAAATCCCAGCCTTACCCAATGGACTAATGAAAGTTTTCTATTACACAAGCATTTTTTCTAACAAAAGTAAATGCTGATCTGATTCAGTGGTTTTCAAATTCCATTAAATTTAAACTCATTCCTCAAAATTTTCCTCAATTTCAGGAACACAAAAATCACTTAAATACACTCTGACTTAGCCTAGAAACCAATAGTTGCATGTATTTCTAATTGTCTACTTTAGACACATGTTTTAAATCTTTCAGCTCTTACTAATGCTGTTAACATCTACCTTTGATATTGATATATAGATACATAGATGATGGGACAACAGTACGTCCTAGTGCAGCTCTCAAATGAATCCCCCAGTGCCGTAAATGTATCATCATGGGCAGCTCTCCAGCTCTTCCTGCTGCTTCGTCCAGAATTTTATTAAATACATGGGAGCTGGCTCTGCCATGTAGGGTGAGCTCACACAAATCAGTCTGCAAGACTGATTGCATTAATTTCATTTTTGATTCATATACTTAGGGGTGATATTAGCACTGTAAACATTAGAGAAATATATGGCACAACATATGCTTAAAGACCCTCACAGAATTCCCTTTCATGAAGAAATTCATTATTATTAAAGACTCTTACCAGTTCCCTGTTATGAAACTTTCTTTAACTAGAGCCAACACAAGAGGATCTATACAAACCCTGGAAAAGACAGCTAGAACTCAGAAGAAGGTTTCTAACCACGAAAGGAATGAGATGCTGAGAGAGCTTTTCCATGGCAATGGGGAAAGCAAACTAGTTTTAAAAAGCATTTATAAAAAGGGTTATATGGCCCGAGATGCCTGTGATATTAATGAGTCACAAGGTTCTTACCTATGATTCCACACAACAGTAGTAAAAAAAACCCCAACCACCAAACAAAAAAACCTCACACTCAAATGAACAAACAAGCTGAACAACTGTTTTGTACAGTCAGAAATTATTCTCCTTTCCTCAGAGCTTTCTTCAAGGATTTTTAGCCTAAACAAAATATATACAGTTCAGTACAGATATATTTCATTCAGATATACTGACACATTATTTATATGTATTTTACATGCTCCAGTGGACTTCATAACATATATAGTACATACTGAAACTAAGGTTGACAATATATCCCCTTTTGGGGTTAAACATCTAGTTCAGTGTTATGAATTTGGGGGATAATGTCATTCAACCGTGGCAGAACCAAAGCAGTCTCCCGGCCACAGCTGAGTTTGCCCTAACAAATGAAAATTAAACTTGTGTTTCCCCTCAGATGGGATTTCATTTCTGCTACACTTCTTGTTTTGCCACAAGTAAATCTTGGTGACACAGGGAGCGTTCAAATTTTTTTAGGCTCACTACCAACTTTGACAGAAAACAAAGATAAATCAACAACAGTATTAGTATGTCTAAAGTTGGGGAAAGAAAACAGGCCAATAAAGTTTGCTAGCAAAACATTTCAAACACCCTCAGGTATGGGGTTATTCCCTAAACTTTGCATGTTTAGGGAAACGACTCTTGGCTCAGCACTATTGGTTTACTGGTAAAATTTCCACAAATCCGTTCACTTTGGAAATCGCTTGCTAAGACATACAGGCTGCCAACCAATAAGCATAATCGTGTTACAGTAGTAATTCAGCCCTCAGAAAAACAATTTCCATTTTTCTATGCCAGAATGTTGTTTTGTTTTGTTTTTTTTATTGATATGACATATTAATAAAACAAAAATGTTCTTCATTTTGGAATAATACTTACTGCAAGCAGTCAAAATGGACTAGCAGATCCCTACCTGGCTTTCTGAGCACTTCACAATGCACACAAAACCAAATGGAAATAATGAAATATTAAGCAACATGATGAATCAGAGTATAGCGGCAGCAAATTCATAACAAATTCAGAACGAGAGCCAGCCCTGCACCATGTAGTTCTTTATTGCACTTACCCGTAGGAAGCTGTCCAAGGAACCATTTTCCATATATTCAGTAACAATCATAACTGGTTTACCTGCAAATATATTACAGGGGTCAGACATTTAAAATGAATGTACAACTATCAGTAAAAACAGGTATTTCAGAAATGTGCCCAAATCTTCCAAATCCCAAGGATAATTTCACATTTAGAAAGAAAGTAAAAGATGCATGAGCAAAATCAGTTCTGCCCACAATACAATTGTGATTTCACTCACAAAACCAGAAATACAGGCATTTCAGCATAAACTGATACAATTTTTAGCAGCTCAAGTCCCAAGTCACAAAGTGAAGCACCCTGCATTTTCAGTATACGGTGTCTTATCCATCGCCGTTGAATATAATCCATCGCATAACTGTTGAATTTATGCAATGAAGTAGGTGTATTCTGCCATGCGTTTGCCCCCAGGCTCCCTCTGGAAGGGAAATGGGCACTTGCTGTTGAGGGAGTCGCAGTTTCTCTCCGGAGGTGCCCTGGTCTGCACAACGGAGGCGCAAGGACTGCGGAGCAACGCTACACCACGTGGGCATAATCAAAATGTTCCTTGGATACTACGGTAAGGGAGAGATTAAACAGCACATGTGGAGGCAACAGCAAAAAATTTCTCCCTTAGGAGGGTATTTACAATGCATTTAAATTGCAGAGGGGAAAATGCACAACAGAAGCAATACAGGGCCTTGGAAAGAAAAGCAGGGCTGTAACATGGCCACCTTCCGCTGCTGGGGGTTATCCAGGCAGCCCAGCCTCCCCCTGCGGCAGGACGATGGAGAACGTACCCCAGCCTGCGCTCCCGCCCAGCACCGCGGCGCTGCGGGCACCCGCACGCTCCAAAGAAACAGCCCCGCGTCCTTGAGAAGCCTCTAGTACCTTTTAAAACCTGCCTTTGCAGATTCTGATCAGTTTGTGAGACCATTCAGTTCTACCCTAGGGGATTTTATAACATAACTGAGGTTTTATATGCAACTCTTGACATGTTGGAGAGAAATGAATGCAAAAAATTAATGTGATTACAGTGAAGTTTCCAGACAAAGGTTATTGCCCTGCTAATATTTTAATGTCATATGGATTTTATTATTTCATAATATTTTCTAAAGCTTTGCTTATTTTCTCTTTCTGGTAGAGAGAAAGGTGGGTAAGAGCATGAAGTTATTTAAGGAGATGAATTATTATTTCACATATAATACAGGGAGGCATCTGACCATAAAAGCATGACAAAGGCCTGCATATTGTGTAGCTGGCATGGTGATATTTCAGCTTTTAAAATGGAACAGCATGAGGCTTGAAAGAGGTACCCAGTATAATTAAAAGCAAAAAATCCATTAAAAATCAAAGCAAATGGTAACAACTCCTTTTTTTTTTTTTCCCCAGAAAATGCAACTTCTACCAAATAGAAATTCTTAGAATGGAAATATTAATTTCAAAGAATGAGTTTAATATAATGAGAAGAAAATCCTTTGTCCTCTCTGCATAGATTAATGGGTTAAAATATCTTTTTTCAGCTGTGCAAATGATGTGTTATACTGTGGGATTCACACTAACTGGTAATCAGCTCTGTCATCCATTAACTGGTAGGAACAAACTCTTTATCCAAAACGTTAATCTTGAATTATATAGGATATGGTACGGGTAAAAGGCATAACAATATAACATCTAAAAAATAAAAAATAAAAAAAAATTAAAAATCTGTCGATTGCTTATTCTTGTTAGCAAGAATATGCAGTGCAAGGAGAAGTACCTAACTTACACTTTAACCCAAAGGCATTTCTGGTAGCGCACAGAAAACACTGGTGTATCTTTCAAGTAGAGTGCAGCGCACTGATGGGGCTATCCGAAACTTTCTATGATAAATCCACGTACTTTAAAATCAGGAGACAGTTGCCTGGTTTCTGTATAAACTCAGACAATTTTATGACACATCAGAAGACTGAAATTAGAGTAAGAAGCTATGTCTTTCAAACTATTAAGAGAGAATCTCCCTGCCTTGCTCCCCCATACTCAGACAGCCCCGAGTGCCGGGTTTCACTCTCCTTCAGCTGGAAACGTGTCCGTAATAAGAAGCATATGCTCTGAAGCAACACCATGCACTTTTAAAAGAACATTCTGCATTCATTTATCAAAGCACAGCCGTTTATACACGATAACAACTTGTGTCAACAGCGTTGCCGAAATTTATTATACTAACAGGCTACAAATTGCTGTAAACTATTAGTAAACTAAGCAGAACATGTGCACTGGTTATTAAGACTACTGCCTACAGCGCACCCAGGAGACCGGTGTAGCAGGAAAACGCAGAACAGAAATCAATGCGAAGCAGGGGAACAACTCTGCACGGAAGCAAAGGGCTGGACTCTTATCTGGTGGGTGCTCCTCCTCGCCGCTGCCGGTGGGTTGTCCCACTGGCAAACCACCGCCACCCCAGCTCGAGAGCTTCTCACACCAAACGGTCCCGTTACAGGGATGGTGACAATTGCTGCTATTAGGAGTTGCTTCAGATTTGCTTAGTATGAAAAGCTAGATCCTTGCTAAGGGCCACCTGTCAAAAAGAATTTGGTTAATGAAGAAAAGGTCATATTGCCCGTTTATCATGCACTACCTGTACTGGGAGTGATGCAGCAAATACTCCGCAGGCTGTCTACTGACTGTACATAAACTAATGCTTTTGAGTGTGATTTAATAGCTATAATTAAAAAAAATATGAGCACTTGCTAATTTGTTATTGCAGTATATTTTTGTTGTTTTTTTTTTTTAAAAAAAAAACAAACCCAAACAAAACCCTACAATCTTCTGTCCTTCTATCACCCTACAAATGTTAAGGAAAATAAATTATTTTCTTTACTTGCATTTATGCCATATAATTTTACCCAGTAAACTGGATACAAATAGTTGCAGAACAGTTTTTTCAACTCCTGTATTCAAGCTATCCTGAGAGGGTGTTGTATCCCTGAGGCTTTTATTGACTTCAGCTGGGAATATTCAGAGCTTGCTCTCTCCTACTTAAACGTGATAGGCAGCTGGCACTCCCCCTCCCCAACAAACAGCAGTCTGCTGTGAATACAGCTGAGTAGCAAACTTACTAATAGTTGCTTATACAGAACACTGACAGCATTAGTAATGCACATTCAAAAGCAATGCACAAATTCCTGCATGCACAGCAATTAAATTATTTTCTCAAGTGCCACAGGAATACAAAATGTGACAAAATAGATTTGAGCTCAGCTGTGCACAGACATTTCAAGTAAGTTTGGGACTGCAAATGTTATTCTGACTGTACGGAGTGTGTGTCATTGAAAAGCAGGAGATAACTTGGGTTTACACAGGCAGATCTGCCAGTCCTTTCCTAATGGGATTGTGAGACCTAAGCTGAAGAATAATTTCTTTGTTATTTAAATCAGCAAAAGAGACTTTCATGAGTCCCACCTAGAGAAAGCATTATTACTCTAATTATGTCTCTTCATAACATACAGGGTTTTACATATCTTTCACCAGTTATTTTTAGACACATTCTTGTGGGCTTTTTATTTCACATAATTTGTTGCAGTAAGCTATGAAATTCTTTCATGCCTATGTGAAACCTTGAGTCACGTAATTTTAAAAACAAGATTCCTTAAAACAAATAAAACCATCTGCTTAACAACAAAGTTTTTGGTAGACTTCTACCCAGTTAAACTGGAAATGTCCTCAGCACATTCCAAGCAGTTCACTGAAATGGCAAGGAGCTGCTTTGCTGTCAGAGTCCTCTAGGATGAACTAGGAAACATCCTACCCATTTTTTCCACTCCCCTGAAAAATCTCAGAGCATTCCTGAATTTCTTTTTAAGAATAACTCGTATAAAATCTTATTGATCTCTCACTTAGTAACTACTGCAGGACTTTGATTGTTAAGTTTGTCACCTTATGCTGCAAAGGAAATTTAGAAAGTCCCTGAACGTACCTCTTGCACAACAAGTCAGATTTCATACTTCATGCAACCTCTCTTTTCTACTATTATTTCTGTCTTGCCACCTCAAGGTAGAGGACAATCAGCAGCACAAGCGATGAGAGCCAGAACTTGCCTAAATGAGGCACCAAATCCCTCATTCTCACCAAATCTTCGCAAAGGAGAAGAGTATGCAGGATCCGAGTGGCTTTGGGGAGGCAACCATGGCAACCTTGGGAAAGCTGGGTAGGTGCTCCAAGACC